CCAGGCCCTGGCCCCATCTCCCGCTTCTGTGAGGCCCTTCCTCATTCCTGCACACGGACCTCCTTTGCTCCATCCCTACTGTTTGTTTCTTTCCCTGCCACCTCTGGGCTCCGTGCTCACTGATCCTTTGGCCCCAGCGCCCTTCTTGCTCGCTTGCCTGGTGAACTCCTCCTTAGCCTTTGGTCACCCCTCCCTTCCTAGGGCCACTTCCCCAGCCCAGACCCCTCGGTTCTTCCCAGCATGCCCTGCTGCTCTGTCCTGCTGCTTAGTACTTGCCTCTGCACCGCGGTGTGCACCCTGCGGGCCCAGCCGAGGCTGTGTGTTATCCTTGTCACCCTCGGTGACACAGGCCAGCCCAGGGGCTGCGCTCTGAGGAGTGCGTGAAGAGAGTCTGGGGCAAGGGTCTGCAAACTTCCTAAACAGTAAATATCAGACTTTGTGGGCCAGAGGGTCTCTGTCACAACTCTGCAACCTGCCGGCCTTGTCAGAAAGCAGCCGTAGACGGTGCACAAGCAGATGAGCATGACAGTGAAACCTTATTTACAAAAATGGGCACCGAGCCGAGTGTGCCAGGCCTCAGTCTCGAGAAACAACAGAATACGTTCAACAGCAAGCAGGAATGTTTCTGAGGGCACTATTTCCCGTGACCAGGGCTGTGGCTTCCTGGAAATTGCCGGTGACAGCAGCAGAAGGTGGTTCAGAAACAAGCCCCCAGGTGAGCCTCTGACAGGTGTGACTTTGAGAATGAAACTTCTGGGTCTCTGTGACCTTGCCCCGTGAGGCTCCCCCGTGGCTGGCTGGCAGGTGAAGGCTGTGACCTTGGAAGTGGGCGGTGTTGGACAGGGGTGATGGTGTCCAGGCATGGGGTCTGAATTCTGCTTCCTGTCACTGTGGTTCAGGGGGAGAGTAGTCGAGCCCCGTGTTGTGAGGGGTGGGGCACCAGCAGGGAATTGGGTGAGTTCCATAGCGTGTTTGGGAACTGATCACTTGTGCTGAGTGACATGGCACCCTGGTGAAAGAAAACATCTAAAATTCAAGTGTTCGGGTACTTTCTCATCACGTATCTACTGAAAGGTTCTTGTTGGTATGTCCCTTTTATCCATAGAACATTGCTTTTTTGTAGCCAAAATTGTGACTTTCGTGATAATTCAGTCAGGTGAGAGCCTGCTTTATGGGGGTTTGGGGGCATCTGAGGCCTGGGAACCACCTCTGAGGGTGGCCCAATGGTGTGAGGGGGCTGCTGGGTGACCCTGGGGGGTGGTCCCTTCCCACTGCTTCTGCTCATTTAATCTGGAGCCACCTGGCCAGGTGACCTGGACAGGACAGAAGGTGGCTGCTGGTGGGTAAGAATAGAGATCCACAGCTTCCTCCTCAGGCTACCTGAGTTTGGGCATTGGGTGGGGGACACAGGCCTCCTGGGGTTACATGGCGAGTAGCCCTCGGGCATGGCTGGAGCAGGTGGGGAGGAATAAGTGCATGTTGGGGACAGAGCCATGGTGCAGCTCCCAGTGCCTTAGCGTAAACTCTGAAGCCGGGCCCCCGCAGTTCACGGCCCTGGCCAGTCATTTATAAGCTATGGGACTTTAGGCAAGTTGCTTAATAGCACTGTGGCTTGGTTTCCTCATGTGAAAAATGGAGATGACGAGGGCTCCCGCCCTGAAGGATTGTTGAAGAGTGCTTGGCGTATCATGAGCACTCCATGAACGTCAGCTGCCAGGAGCAGCCCCTGGAGCAGAGTGTGTCAAAAATCATCAGGATGACCGCCCCCCCCCCCGCCCAGAGCCGGTCCTGGCTCTTCCACCAGTCTCCCTTTGAGTCTGAGCTCCACACCCCAATTACAGAGGGGACTCTAAAGTAAGCTGCCCGGATGGCACCAAGGCCCAGGGAGAGGGAATGAGTTGCCTGGTTTCTCCAAGCTCCACAGACAGAAGGGACCTTTCTGGAGGAGTTTGGACCCCAGCATGCAGGAGGCCTAGGAAATGGGTCACCTTGCCCAGACAGGTCTGCCCAGCAGCCAGAACCCTGGCCTTCTCAGCCCTTTCTCCACTTTTCCTTTGCCCTGCTGGAAAGGCAGAGGCCACAGGCACCCAGGTCAGGCAGGGCTGCTTCCCTCATTGGCATCTGCCACCAGACCCAGCCTGCACCTCCTTGGGGACTTAGAAGCTGTGGGACTTAAAAGGGGGAGAGGCTGGGACCAGACCTCTGGCCCACCGTTCCTCTGCACAGAGAAAGTGAGGGGCCGTGTGGGCCCAGGGCTGCTTGCAGGGCCAGCTCTCATTTGCCCTGAGTGAAAGGAGGGTGAGAAGGTGGGTGGGGGGTGGGGCTTGGTGTCTGGAAGACGAGCTGTTTGCTTCAGTAGTGCTCCTCCCCACCCTCTTGTCTCTGGGCCCCGTGTGGCAGGACCTGGTGCACAAGGCAGGGTGAGCAGCCTGCTCGGCGTGGCCCTGGGCAGCCGGAGGAACGGACTACCGCCTCTGCCTTCTGGATGCTGAGGCAGCACGTATTTACTGAGGCTTGCTTGTATGCTTGACACTTGGTGCGGGCATGTTGCTCTGAACCAACAGGTGAAGGTCACACTGTGAACAGGGTCACGCAGTACGGCTCGGAACCAGTCCTTGCTGGGGATGCCCTCGCCTGCCTGTGTGCTATCCCAGGTGCTTTCCCCTTCCCCCCATAGGCCCCAGCAGCCAGGAGGCAGGGTGGCACCATGGTGGCCTGGGCTGAGTCCCTACAGATGGCCCACCTGCCCTCTTACTGTCTGTACCGCCAGCCCTGAGTGTGTTGGACCTCTGCTCCTCAAGTGCCCCAAAGGCAGCCATTCCGTCGCAGGGGAGACCTTTTCCCTGGTATAGGGAAGGCACATCAGTAAAATTAGGCATTGGGATTTCTAGGTTTCACTTTACCTTGAGAGACACCATTTTCCACAAAAACGACGCCCCATGCTTTTATTAGAGTAGGACTATTAAGGAAAACTTGTGGAGCAGAGAATGCCGGACAACGTTCTAATGTACAGATACCCAAAAATTGTCCCCCTCTTCCCGGCCCATCCGTCCGGCTCAGACGGGGGTCGGGCGGGATCAAATATGAGCACGAAGAGCCTGGTGGAACTCATCCCTGGATGGTGGCTGCCACTCAGCATCTTGGCAGAGTGTGCTGGGGGTGTGGGGGAGAGGGGAAGTAGAGACCAAACAAGAGATGATGACTCTTCCAGAGTCTTTCGCAGCTGGAAAAGGGGAGAAGCCGGAGAACAGCAGGGAGAAGGAGGAGCTGCAGATTTGAGGAGCAGTGGACTTTAAGCTTTTTTGTCTGTAACATGCCATGAAGCACCCCCTCAAAGCTCCCAAAGGAAGGGCTCACAACCGGGCTGGCACCCTCCTTCCGGGGGGGCTGCATATGAAAGAGGTGTGTGCATTTATGCTTAAAGAAATGTAATATGGACAAATGGCCATATTTCTACCGAGCTGAAGTATGGGACCCCCGTGGAACTAAGTGGAGGCCTCGTGAAATGTGTGGCAGCCCTGGTATTGACACTGGCCCAGGACCCACTGCCTCCACATTTGAGACTTCGGTCCCTGTGAAAAGTTAAAAGGGGCGGGGCGGGGGTGGGCAAAGAGGAAAAGCCGGCCCGCTCCCCCACTGTGGCCTGGAGTCCGGGGCCCTCGGAAAAAGTCTGGATGAGGAATGATGTTGGAGCTTGGCTCAGCGCGCGTTTCACAGCCGCCAGTGGAAACTTCCAGGAATGCTGCTCTGGGCCAGCCAGGGGCTGTTTCCGCCGCCACTTTTACGAGGTACAGACCTCCCCCCCCCCCCACCGCAGCTCCTGGCCAGCACAGGGGGAGTGTGACTATCTCCTTCAGCCCAGCCCTGCCTCTCAGGGTGCAGTGCACCTTTTCAGGCTCAGGCCTATACCCCAGGGTTCAGAGCCCCTGCAGCCCAGGCCGGCTCACTTCGAAAGGGCCAGCCGCCAGGAGGAGTAGCCGACATCCGTGCGGGATGCTGTGAGAATTTACAGCAGCCTGAGAGGGGAAACTCCCTCCCAGAATGTTTCAGTGTTTTATTAAATGTATGAAAGGAAAGTTTCCTTTTCACTGGACGAAGGCCCAGAGCCTCCTTGGAGCCTCAGGGAAGGTGGCAAAACCTCTTGGGAAAGCCTACAGACAAATGGGTAAAATTAATAGAAAGTATTGTTTCTTAATCTGACCCCTTCCTGCTGGCTGTAGGCTGCACCACACAGGGACCAAGCCTGCCTCATTCGTGGCGGACTCACCCCGTGCCTGGTGCGGGCCTGGCACGCACAGGCACTCACCCAGCCCTCGAGGAGGAGGTGAAGCAGAGCTCAGCCGTCATGGCCAGCATGGGGCAGGCTGGGCGAGGGCTGGGGTTGGCCGTGGGACTGGTGGGCAGGCCCTGGGCGGGGAGTCCTTGAGGGCAGTGGGCCAGCTGCTCTGTGGGGAGCACACGGGCTCCCAGACAGCACCACCCCTCTGCCAGCACTCTGTCCAAAGCCAGAGAAGGTGGGCGGGTTTTTTGGAGCCTTGCCCAGCAGCCATGTCTGCGAGACTGGCCCTGGCCCATGAGGCACATGCAGCCCCGGCAGCTGGGGGCATTTGGCAGGCCAGACAGCTAGGTCCCCAGGTCAGCCATGCTGGGTATGCGGGAGAGGCCAGGGAGCCCAAGGGCTCAGCCTCTGGAAGCCAACATGATGATAAGCGTTGCCAGCATGGGTCAAGCTAAGAAGTGCTGGCCACCATCCTGAGTCACCTCCTAGTCTCCAGGACTCCCATGAGCTTGGCCTTGTCCTTCCATGACAGGCAAGAAGGGGCTCAGAGATGGAGTTAGGGCCTAACTCCCAGAGGGCATATTCCTGCAGTGGTCCTCATTGGACAGGCAGAGGCCCTCCTAGGCTCAGGGGCGCTCACTCATCTCCCAGCCGAGGGGATCCCCAGGGCAGCCCTGTAGCCCCTGCGTCCTCTGAAGCCTGACCACCATTTATTTTGCAGACGGTCTCCATCCTGGAGCAGCGGCTGACGCTGACGGAAGACAAGCTGAAGCAGTGCCTGGAGAACCAGCAGCTAATCATGCAGAGAACGACATCGTGATCAGGGGAGCAAGAATCAAGAGCTCGCTCGATTTTGGGGGGTGGCAGGCCGGGGATTTGTACTATGGGACTTGGGTCAATAAATGAAGGGGATTCAGCCCTATGGGACTCACATCCGTCCCCGAGCCCCCGAGGTTATGCCCTTCTGTCCCCACCTGCTCTCTGCCCCCGGAGGCTCGCCACCTGCCAGTGGAAGGCCCCCGTGGGCAGGGCCCACATACGCAGAGTGGACTACGTTTGGTTTAACCTGAAGGAGTCACTTGAAAATGTTTGCTACCTCGGAGTCCTAATGGGCCCGAAGATCGCAGCTGCCCCTGGGAGAGGTAGCCCCAGGCTGCCTCACGGGGGTTTGACCCCCTTTCTGCCCCATGCCTGGCTCTTCCCACCCACGGCAGCTTAGCAGTGGGCTGCCCATTGGATGGGTGAGCCAGGAGTTTTCTCTAAATCTGACAAAAGGCCCAATGTGGGCCCATCCGAGTCAGGTTTGTCCAGGAGCAAGCACTCGAGGGTTGGGGGGGGCTCTGCAGTGTGGCCTTGATTCCTGCTCCACCTGTGTTCACTGGGGCCCGGTGGCTTCCACCTCTGTATGCATGAGGGTGAAGGAATCTGAAATTAAAATGGACTTTATTGAGCTTGTCATAAAAGTGGATTGTTGAGTGAGACCTCATTAGTCTTTCCCCCCATCCCTGGGCCCGTAATGGGAGAATGAAAGGAGTGGCTTTGGGGGGTCCTGCCAGGTTACCCTGGGCATTCTGGACACTCTCACTGGATCTGGGAACTGGGGGGGGGGGCCAGGACAGCCAGTGCCCCTGCACAGCACCCACCCCCCGCCCCCTCTGGCTGGCCCCAGCTGGCGTCGTCGATTGGGTCCTGGAGGACTCAGGCACCTGCATTTCCACTTAACTCCTGAGGGTCCCCACGGGCTCCTCCCCATGCACCTGTGCAGGGAGAGCCAGGCCAGTGTTCTCCACGTGTCTGGGTGCTGTCCGTGCCTTCAGCATTTGGCTTCTTGGGGCCCAGCCAGCCAGGGAGGTATTTATCCTTCAGCAGACCTGCCCTGCCCGGGGGGGTCAGGGGCGCTGTGTTAGATGTTCTCGGGAGCTTGTCAGTACCATGCAGCTGATGAGCTTCCCAGCCTCTGCCGCTTCCAGGTGGGAGCAGAGCCTGAAGGCCTAGGAGCTGGGGCTGACACGGAGGCAGCCTCTGTGGAGCCCTGATGAACGGCGGGAATGGGGAAGCGGTCTCCTCCAGCTGGTGGGGGAAAAGCTGCGCACAGTCCAGGGTCAGGCTTCAGACTCTGCCTTTGGCCAGGTGTGTAGCCTCGGCTTGGTGACATAACCTCTCTGAGCCTCAGGTTCTTGTTTTAGGCGGAGCTGGTAGGCATCTCTCCAGGTGCTTAGGAGGTAGGCACACTCCCCATGAGCTGAGTGGGGAAGAGGCTGCTGGCTCAGGCTCTTCCAGGGGATCCCCCCGGGGACCTGCCGAGGCCTCCCACGTGGCCCTGCGTGTGCAGAAGAGCTGGGCAGGCCTGCGGGTCTGAATTGGCAGGTAAGGCGGTCAGATGCCTCGGGAGGTCACGAGGATTGAGTTGTGAATTTCTCTGTGAAGAAAATGTGGGTTGAGAGCCTGCTAGGGATTCAGGAAATGGCCTGGAGTTTAGTCTATGTCCCTGGAACCCCCCCCCTGGTTAGTCAGCCCCCTCACCACACACGGATCTGCGTGCTCTGAGACAGCCCACCCTGGGCTCTCCCACGTGGAGGCAGCCACGGGCCCTCTGAGAAGCAAGGCCCTCCTGAGGGGTTTCCTGCACACTCACGCACCTGCCTTGATGGAGCCCCCAGCCAGACCTGGATTTGGGGGGAAGATGGGTCTTGGAGAGCTGTGCTTGTCTTTGAAACACCATGGAAACCCACCCCCTCTAAGCCTGAGGGTCAGTGTGTGACACCCAGAAGGCAGAGCTATGAAGGGGCCAGGTTCTTCCCCAAAGAGTTCCTTTTCTTGCTCATGTGGGGCCTGACTTGGGACCTTACTGCACTGAGTGAGGATCTAGGGGCCCAGATTGTTCCTGAGAGAAAGGGGACAGGGGACCCTAAGGTGCTCTGACCCCCCACCACCCACCCTGTGAAGGTGCTACAGGACCCTGCCCTGGGCAACACCGGGCTGGTCAGCTATGGGGGCCCTCACAAGCGAGAGAGGAGTATGGGGCCTGGATGGGCTTGAGGTGGCGTGGCAAGGTTGGGGGCCACGTGACAGGGCCTCTCTGGTGGTGTCTCCCTGTCAGCCCTTGCTGGCAGCTCCCCTGTAGTAGGGGCTCTTACCAGTCCTCCCACTGGTGCTGCCAAGCTCAAAAGCAGCCTTCTGGAAATGCAAATGCCTCTGCTCAGCCACCGTCTTTCCTGATTGTGGATTTTGATAACTGAGCTCCGAAAAAAGCCCAATTGCAAGCATCTCTCTCTCTCTCTTTTTTTTTTTTTTTGCTAGGAAGGTGAGGTGAGGTTAGGGGATTTTGTTAGGAGGTATATTTCAGCGGCAATTCCCACCGCCCCCTCCTCTTGTGGCCCAGTTTTCCTAACGTGAACTTAACAGGTGTTGGTGATTGGTGATTTTTTTTTTAAGACTTTATTTATTTTGAGAGAGAGAGCGAGAGCATGAGTCGGGGGAGAGGCAGACTCCCCGCCGAGCAGGGAGCCCGATGAGGGACTCGATCCCAGGCCCCTGGGATCATGACCTGAGCCGGAGGCAGGCCCTTAACTGACTGAGCCACCCAGGCGCCCCTGATTGGTGATTTAAATTGCGACCCCCCCCACCTACCTTTGCCAGATTCTTGGGGTTCCAGGATGAACCTGTACTTCTGCCAGAGACACTGAGGGAGGCCCCTCAGGCCAGCTGGATGACTGAACCAGCAAGTGGCACCTGAGTCCTGTTGTCACCTGTGGCAAGCCCACCCCCCTGTCATTCCTGAGTCTCCGCTCCCCACAAGCTCCTGACAGACCAGCCGGCCTGACCTGGACACTCTGCCATCTTCCCACCACTGTCCTTGTCCCTCTGTCCCAGGACCCGCTTGCCACAGATTCATGACCTCTCCGTGCTGGTGGGCTGTGTGCACACAGGCCACCAAGAGGGCGGAGCAGTGGAGTCAGGGGTTCGCTCTGGGAGTTGGGGGCCCCTGACCCACTGCCTGAGTCCAAATGCTGGCTCTGCCACCTGCTGGCTCTGTGATCTCAGACGAGTTCCCGAAGCCTGTGGAGCGTCCATCTGTAAGATGGTGCCGGTCTAAGCGGGCGCATGAAGCGCTCAGAGCAGTGACTGGCACAGAGCGCGAGCATGGTCCCTGTGTGACCCCCCCACCAGCCCGGGGTGCTGTCACTTCTGGCAGGTCAGGCCCCTTCCCCGGAAGTTGGTCCATGCGTCCATGTGCTGATGGTCCCAGGATCCCGCTGGCTCTGGAACTCTAGGTGGCCGGAGTTAGGAGCTCTTGATGCTGTGGGCCCTGCCCTGGGCATCCCCAGAGGTGCAGAGGGATTTGGGCTGGCCGGCGGGGGTGGAGGGGCTCAGGGCAGCCCCTCCGCACCCGAGAGGCAGGCACTCTAAGGCCACCTCTTCTGCTGTCACCAAGGCCGCCACCAGGGCCGGCACGGGCTTGAGGGTGGCTGTTTGTGATTACCCGGAATCCCGGAAACCCAGCCCGCTGAGCAAGCGAGAGTGCCGTGAGTCACGCTGGCCCTGTTGTCCTGGCTCCCTGTCATCAACCTCATTTTCCTAAATGATTTGCTCAAGATGGGCCCCTGATGGCTCCCGCCTTAATTGGTGTGTGGCCATTTAGGGGGGCCAGAAATCCCCCCGGGACTTCTCACTGAGCACCCCCTGCTCCACGCCACCCGCCCGGGGCTGCTGACGAGGAACCCCCTTGCCAGGGCAGCAGTGGCAGGCTGGTGGTGGCCCAGTGGTCCGGGCCACCGGGCTCTGGCGCTAGCCCACCCCAGCCGGGAGGCTGTGGTGGCCTAGGCTCACTGGCTTGGCCACTCTGGGGAAGTCTTTTAGAGGCTTTGCCCCTGACTCCCTACTGAGGAGGGCCCAGCCTGTGCTCAAGATAGGACTGGAGCCAACCCAGGGAGACTGGGGCGAAGCCATTAGGAAGTTCATGCCAACCCCTCTTGGGGCTGGGAGCTGCCATGTGCACTCTCCCAAGAACCTATTTATAGAGCAAGGCCAAGGAGTGCTTTCACTTTAGGTGAGGCCACCTTGAGCCCCATCTGCCTGGGAGTGCTTTCTGCCTGCAGGAATGCCACCCCCCCGCCCCGCCCCCCATTCTCCTACCACCTATGAGAGATCTGAGCGCCGGCATAGGGAACCTGGGCGGGAGAGGAAGTCATGTTCTACAATAGCTTCCCTTCCTCGGCCCTAAGCTTCTCCGTCAGGCACAGTGTGTGGGACTTGGGCACCTTCCCTGGGTACCCGGTAGGTAGGGGGCTGGCCTGCTGGAGCCAGGGCCCACACTCTACATCCCGACATCAGGCCTGATCCATCTCCATTCTCCTCCCACCGGGTGCTCGGACTCAGCTTTGGAATCAGGACTGCCTTTGGAGCCAGGGATGTCCCTGAGTGCTGAGCTCTGAGGGCCCATGTTTATCCAGTCCATGTCACTCTCCTGGTCTCAGGCCTGGCCCAGGGCACATGCACCCCACTGATGCTCTCTGCTCAACTGGCCTCTTCCAGACCTTTTCCCCGGGCAGGTCTCTCTAGAACCACCTAGTTCTAGAAGAACTGTGATGCCCCACCCCACCTCTGCACTGGGCCCCTTAAACCCTGACCGCACCCAAAGACATGTCCCCCTGCCCGTTGTGCCCCCCACTCCCAGCTCAGCTCCCAGAGTCTTCCTCCTGTGACAACTGCTCCTGGATTGGCTCCTCAGAAGCCTCGAAAACTGGGAGCCAGAGAAGCGGTGTAATTAGTCCTCCCAGACCCTCCAGGCAGCCTCTCACATGTGCCTGCTAACGGGAAACAGAAGGTGCTTTCTGTCGCAGAGGCCTGGGCCAGCCCATGTCTGGGCGGCTGCCATGGACTTCTTAGCTCAAACTGCGAAGCTGACCTTTGATCCTGGGTTGCCCTGG